CATTGAAATAATCTAATTATTCAAGTATAACAAACGAATGAGAAACCTGAGCGCATACCATTGTTAATCATTTATATTGTTTCAATTATAGGTCGTAAAAAAAATACTTATTCACAAAAATTCGCAAACAACAATGAAAGAAAAACAAAATAAGGACGACAAAGAAAAAAGAATAACGTAATTTGGTACATTACCTTTTGTTTTAATGAAATCCAAGCACTTTCACAATATAAAGGAACTACTTGTTAAAAATTGCAATTCTTAAAACTTTTCTTGAAAACTTAGTTAGTTAGTAACCAAAATAATTCAAAGCGTAAATACTTTGGACTTGTTTTGGTCGATAGAATGGCACTGTGTTTGGCAAGGTGTGATTACAGGTATACACATGCAGCTTCTTATACGTTGCTCCCACCATTTGCCGAAGACAGGCTCACGCTTAATAACCTTATCTAATAGCGTTAATTACGATTCTGTTGGGGAAGCTACAAGTCGAAGTGATTTTTCGAGAACATTTTTTTGTTTTTTCTTTTCGTCTACTTAGCTATTGACGCGAACATCGCATTAAATACACGAGAAAAATCGAAAATTGTAAACTAATTTTTATAGGAAGGATATACACCGTAATGCATTGCATAAAATATTCATTCATTGTTCAATTTGCGTGACAAACAATTACGAAGATAAAAAAGGATAATGAAGTGTGTTTAGTTATAGTGATTTATATTTACGATAATGAAAATTGCTTTTTTTTCCATTTTTTAAAATGCGTTAGTATTATTGCTTTTAAGTTGTTTGTAATTAAGAAAAATGGTTTGTTTATAAATTAGGACTTATCGTTTGTGTAGTGAGTGTAAAAGAATGAAAAAAAATTTTTTTGTAAGTACCCATACGTTGGTTTTAACAACGTACTACTTTCTGGCTACTTACTTTCACATCTATTGGTTGACCATTTCAAAAATATTTTAAAATTGAAAACTTTAGGGACATGTGATGCAGTAATAAATCATATTAACTCGTACGATTTTCACGAATTAGCTCTAAAATAATGAGAACAGGGTAATATTGTAACTAAGAGGGTGAAAGTGAAAAATATTTTGCTAAATTACACTTACAATTAGTTAACATATGGTTCCGAAGCAATTAAATTGAATTTAATCATAAAAGCTTTCCTAAATCATTTTATTTTAAAAACTTTATCATCATTATAAGGTCGTCAGTCCTAAGACTGGTTGAACAC